TGGGACTAAAGAGATCCAAACAACACACACACACACACAACTACACATGCATGGCAGTGTGTGTGTGCGTGTGTATGTGTGTGTGTGTGGTATTTTGCATGGGTTGTTATTTCATGTCAGCCTCAATAGCGGCTGCAGCGTTTTTCCCTAATTTCCCCTTGACAGTTAGTGGGTAAATGTCGCAGCGATGACACGTCACACGACAGCCCAGAGCGAGTTATACACATAGAGTGGGAGATCGAGAGAGACAGAGAGAGAGCGGGAGAGAGAGAGAGAGAGAATCACACATAAGAAACTTCACTTTTCTTTGGCCCAAAAAGTCAACATCAACAGCAAAAGCAACAACAGCCAGCAGCAGAATATAAATTAAATAAACTGGCAAGTAGTTTTGCTGCTTCGTATGGTTTTGCTGAATGCAACTCGGCCACTTGAGGTGCACACTCGTTGCATTTGCCTTGTCCCCATGCACTTGCAACATCTCTGGTTACTCCCTGCAAGATGGGAGATCTCGTTTGGTTTGGCACTCTAGAAACCTCTGGCTCTGGCACTGGCTCTGGCTGTGGCTCTGGGTCTGCCTTGCGTGCTGGCACAGGGTCGAGTGGCTTTTAATGAGCTGTTGCATATGCAGTTTATTAATGTGTTGAAAATCCCCCAACAGCAACAACAACAACAACAACAATGAGGCCAACAAAAACAAAAACAAAATGCCCACAGTCCGAATGTGCTTTTACGGTTTGTTGTTGTTGTTCTTCTTCTTCTTCTCGTTGTTGTTGTTGTTGTTTTTTGTGGCATGCCAGACCAAAGTTTGTCTAACTTTGAATTTGTTTAGGGCCATAAATTATTCAAAACCTCTTACAGTTGCACCACTTGCAATTAGGGAGTCTCATTAGAGCTAAAGATTTTTCAGTATTGTGTTGATTTTCTTCTGCTCGATTATTTTAGTATTAAAAGAATACAATCACAATTGTTTAAACATTTCTTAAAAGCTACTTTATGCAAATGGTTATTATTGATAGTTTTTGATTATATAAATAATTGTGTATGGTTGAAAATAAACTCTTAGTTGTGGTGATTAAGTTTCTTAGTTATCTCTGCCTGCTTATCGAAAAATCCATTATCGTGAATATAAAAATTCATCTGCAAAAAAGAAAAGCAATGGGCCAAAACGTGAATTGTGTGCCACCCTCAAGCCACTGAGATACCCTGTACTTTGGCAAATTTCAGCTAAGCACTGCTGACACAATCATTTCAACTCTTGATTGTGATTTGCCCCTTTCGTTGGTTGAATATACCCAGTCGAATAAGTCGATGGAGAGCATGAAGTACTCAAGCATTGTGCAGCATTATGAAAAAAGATTTTGAGCACCGTGCGAAATCACCAAACCGAATTGGCGTTCCAGTTGCCATGCCCCCCTCGTTTGCCACCCGCCGTCACCCGCATGACATCATCGGCGTTAAAAGAGGCAACGATCCGCGGTGGACAACTGAGTGGATGCCTCAGTTGGTTTCGGTTTCGGTTTTCGTTTCGTTTTGGTTTGCTTTCTGAGGTTTCGGTTTGATTACGTTTGGCTTCTAATCTTTGCTTGACTTCTATTCTCATTGTGGTTGCCAATGTTGTTGCTGTTGCTGTTGTTGTTGTTGGTGTTGCTCGATTAGGGGCCGGTCGGTCGGTCATTCGCTTTATGCGGGTCAACAAAATAATGGTCGAGCCGAACTATTGGGCAGTTGGAACGAGAGCCGGTCAAAGCTAAACGAAAAATGGCTAATGGCTATAAATATGTTTGTCTCAGAATCAATTTGATGCTTGTTTTGTTTTTTGGTTGATGGAATTTCATGTGCGCTCTGCATAGTTCCATTCAATTTCGTAAGGCAATCGGCTTAAATGTTCTGGTTTTCGGCTCCATGCGAGCCATGATATGCTATGTTTAAGAAATTATTCAAATAATATTTCATGCAAAAAGCCTCGCCCAAAAATTATATGCACACATGTCAATGCCATAAATCTCCAAAACTACCCAATGCAAATTGATTTGTTGCTGTCCCTGAATCAAATAAAATGAAATGCAACGGCTGTTGTGACGCAGATCATGAGGGGCAGGAGCAGTGTATAACTGAGGCATGTAGTTGCGCAAAAAAAACAAAATCCAGGAGCGGACTCTATGCATATTTTATTGGTCTGACTACAACGTAAAGCTACTCCACACGTTAAGCTCTTACCTTTCCTCTCGTGCGAGAGAATGAGGGAGAGAGAGAGAGAGAGAGAGGGAGACTGAGAGTTTGCCATGGATGGTTCCTTTAAAGTCAGCAATCCGCTCCTGACTTGCAACTCTTAGCTCAAAGTGAGTTTCCGGTCATTTGACGAGTGCAGTTTGTCATTGGAGGCACTGATGGATGTTTCCTTAAAACTTGGCAATCCGCTCCTGACCAACATTAATACCAATACCAATAGCAATAGCAATACAAATACGAGTACCAATGCCAGCGTCAACAGCAATAATAACACCAACTACAACACCAACACAACAACAATAATCGCCATGCAAAATCAGCAGGCACAGCATGACGAATGGCAGTGTGTCGGCTGCTCTCGACTGGATATAAATAAATTTTAATTTGCCAATTGTGTGTAAAACTTATTAGCGATAAGTTTTGTCGCTGCTGCAGCCACAGCCTGTCACACGTACACAGTCGTACACATTTGTATCTACATGCCACACACACACAGAGGACAAGAGCTTTGTTTGCATATTTTTGTGCAAAATATCTGACTGTGTTTCGCATGAGGAAATAAAATACGTGTATCCGTTGCTAGTCAGCTGGCATTTGGATATTAGTCATAAAGCTGCAATGAATTGGGCATAAGCTTATTAATGATATCTGTAAGCCGTTGGCCGGCAAATTAATTCTGACAGGCAGCAAAATTGACGTTTCCGTTCTTCGACTCCACTGCATTTTTGTCTGCACTTTTTTCTGCATATTCCTTAAACATATGTCCAATATTGTTGGTTAGATTAGGTTATGCTGATTGCTAGCAAGGTAGGCAGACCCCAGGACAGTGACAGAAGAAGTGCTGAACCAATTTCTATTCTTCTTTGCCAAGACAACTTTTACAGAGAGGAGTGGACAACTTAGCTGCATGATTGCCTATCCAGTGCGACAGTGTTGCTAATGAACTAAAGAGTTGTTGAGTCAACTATCAGAATTAGTATTCAGTTGGATACTCACCGACCTATCCATATGTTTTTGGTTAGCCCATTAAGACCCATTTCTAATGCCAGTAATTAGCCAGTAACACACACACACACACACACACACACCCGCACACATCCTGATGGGGACTTGCACTCGTAACTGACTTGAATCACAGGATCCACTCAGCTGGCGTTTATGTTTGCACACTTTCGGTTTGTGGCGCGTTAATGCTGTGTGTCGGGCACTTGGCGCAGCTCTTTTTGGCTTTTCACATTTATTTAATATTTTAATTAAATTATTTCAGTGCATGTGCATACGTTGCTGGCTCAGCCCAGTCTAATGGGCCAACTTCACATGGCGGCAAAGCATTTACATGCAAATGCTGCCGTGTTATGGGCCAACTTAAGGCGCCAGTACACACATCTCCCACATACACACACACAACACACACACACACACACACACACATGTTGTGCATGTTGTGTGGACTTCTCAGATCGAGCTGGTGCCATTACCACCCGCACTTAACGTTAATTAAACTGCTGTGTGTGCTAAAATGTGTCTCTGTCTCTGCCTCCACAAAATGTCTCTCTCTTTTTCTGTGTGTGTGTGTGTGTGTGACGCAACTGCCTGGCATATTCTGCAAGTGGCCGTAGACTCGTTGCCGTGTCCTTGTCCTTTGTAGCTGGCAGCTGCTGTCGTTTTAATAGCTTAATGTAGTTACTTCCACTTTGAGTGTCTTCCTGCCATGCTGCATCGAGCCAGCCAACAACCAACAGCCCGGGCCAACAGCTGTGGGTGTTAGCGTGCCGGGCGGGGGTGGTGCAGTGGGTGGGGGAGGTGTGTGTTTCTTCCTCTTTTTTTTTGTGTTGAGCATAGGTTTTTGGTGTGCGTCTTTGCTAATAAAAAACACAACACTCAGCAAAATTGTTATGCAGCAAACTAAATCAACAGACACACACAAGCACACACATTACACACACGAACACTCACACACACATATGCTGTACAAATTACACAGCAGCCATGACGACTATAACCAGGAAAAAGCCATGTAAGCCACACTTACACAGACAACTGGCCCCCGGTTGCATGTGCACTCAATGCGTGCATTTTTTGCACACACTGTAGAGTTGCTGCTAGATGAGTACCATTGGCGATGCAGGGGTGCACAGAGTGGCACAGTCTGTATGCGCGATATCTAACAAAGTTTAACTCGTTTTATGTTTATGCCCGTCTTCAGCTCAATGCTAAAGGGTATATTGATACCGCTGCTCTACTCGAAGTCAACGCATTTGACTGCCTCTCTTACTTTGACCAGCTCTGCCTCTGTCTCGATGTGAGTAAGGGTATTTTTATGGTGTACTCATCTGAATTTTGTTTGCTGTTAGAAGTAGTTGTATCGTAGGCAAAAGTATGTTGGCAGTTTGGCACCAGAGAAGACTTTTTTGCATGCGAGAATGCGCTGGCAGCTGCAGATGCCACAGAGAACAAGGCAACCCAGATACGACGAGGACAAGGATTAGGAATTGGGCGGGTTTGTTGCTAGGATTACCATGTTGTATGCGAATGCATGCATGCCTGAATAATGCCTTTATTAGTGGTGCCCAGAGGAGCTCGAATCGTGTTGGTATTTTTCCAACATATTTCAGTTGTTGTTGTTTTTGGCAGTTGCTTCGTTGATTTTATATTCATTAATTAGTCGTCTACGTGATATCAAGTATAGTCCCACTATGAATGTCTCCCATGTTGCGGTTGTCGCATTGTATTCTCACCTACGTGTCGCTTTATTCTTCTTCTATTTACAGCACCAGCAACTACAACAACAAATTCCGGCTTAGTGCAATACGAAAATGGCCCAACCACAATTGCTGCAAATCAAATTGTCACGTTTCGATGCCCAGCCCTGGGGATTTCGCCTGCAGGGCGGTGTGGACTTTGCCCAGCCTCTGTTAGTGCAAAAGGTGAGTGCCACGCCCACACTACAAGAGGGCGAAGTATGTTACACAGATTCAATTATGCTCAGATTTACTTTAATTTCAACTGCTGCCCACAAACAGTTGCCAAATGGAATTTATGTGTAAAAATTGGATGGAAAAACGCTTGAAAAAAGATAGCGAAAAGCAAAAATAAAATTGTTGGCTGAAAAGTTAATTAATTCGGGCATTTAAATGCTGAGTTCCTTTCGCAGACAGTACCCACGAAAACTGAATAAAAATAAGGTATTATGAAGTTGTTGTAATTAGAGCTTCAGATACAAAATTTGCTAATTAAGGTTTTGTACAGATTAAAACTGGATATTAACTACCTAAAATTACTTCAATTTTAAATCATGTATTTTTACGTGCAACTCTATATAAATTTTAATTATTATTTTAATGCTCAACAATTTTATGAAAAGTTAACTACGAATGTGTGTTAGGACTGGGTACAGGGTATTTTTTAAAAATAAATTTGTAGCTATTTGCTTTTTTGCGTTCGGCTTTTGCGCACGGAACGCAAAAAGTTTTACCAATTATTTTCCAACAAAATTTCCTTTGCTGCCATTTTGGATATTTGGTCTGCTCACATATATGTATATGTGTGTATATGTTTGTGCATACATATATGCATTATATATTATTCCTAATAATTTTACATATCCGGCGACACGCATGCGAATTTCAGCAAAACACTTAAATCTTTTAGTAGCCAGAAGGGTGCTTCTTCTTTGCGTATTTATAATGAATATTTATCTACATATCTATATTTATACACTACATATCGACAAATGTACATAGTTTTTATTTATTTATATTTTTTTATTTTTTTTTTTCGATTGTGCGACTTTTATTAATTTCAGCTTGTGGCAGTTAATGTTTGCCATGAGAAAAAACGTGTCTGCGATATGAGTTATGAGATATGAGTGAAATACAGATGTGAATTTGAGTTATGGTCTAGATTATGTTTATGGCTTATACCAACTGGGTCAGGCCGCAATTGGTGCATTATATATTTTTGAATAGGCCACAAATCGGTAATTAAGCATTGCTAGTTAGTAGCTCTTGAAAATTGGAGTGAGAGAGAGAGAGCATTAGACTTAAGTGGCTTTGCTTGTTTGCAGTCACTGAATCTCGACAAGGGCGTTCAAAGCGGCGTTTCAGCAATTCAAAACTAATAAAGTAATTCAGTTTTCGAAACTATTTTAGGGCCAATCTCACGCCATTTGAGTTTGAAGTGTTTGAAGTGAATGCTTTTGATGCAATTGCAATCGAATGACTGCAATTTGGGAGCATTCGAACTCGCACTCAGCCATGCATCCGAGTGGACACATGAATCATTGAATGACATTGACCTCCCATCCAGTTCCATTCACTGACAGAGTTGTTGCGCTTGACCAAAATATGGACTATGACAAACTGAGTTTCACTTGCGCTACAATCATGAGTGTATTTTTGGATTATTCGAGTTTGACGTGAATCAGCTCAATTCCGATAAGTGCTTTCCGCATAATAAAATTAATAATATGTGTTTACGAACTGCTCTTCAACAGAAGCTCATTGTCAACATTTCTTTCTGATAACATTATAAATAGTCGGTGATAAAATGTGTGCCTTAATTCCATTTGAAGCAAATGAGAAGTGGGTGAATTTGAGAAACATTCTATTTTGTTATTATTGTTCATCGCAGTGGGGCAGCCACAACAAAGCTTTGGTAATTGTTTAAGCGTGACAGCAATGTGCCAATGTGTAAATATTTTATTATGCCACACGGAATTTATTTCGTTGACATTTTCAAAACGCCACCAAAAACAACAAATTTATGTTTACTTTGGCATTACAAATGAGTTCAGCTGCTAATGGCGGAAAAGTGGGCGTGAATGGGTGCAGGTCGTAGCATTTAGTGGACCGAAGGTAATGGGGACGTGGGTCTGTGAGCGATTTCAATACAAATGCGCAATTTCTATTTAAACAGCCGTTTCAGTGGGTTGACTTGTGTCAATGCTGTGCCACTCTAGCAGGGGCAAAGTGACATTTTAAACCGATTCCATTTAAAAGCTGCACAATAATTGCGGGGAATTATTGAAAATACATAAAAAATATATATATATATATAGACGAGTTTCATCCAGCAATTTACCGATTTTATAGTGCGGCTACAGAGCATTGCATATTTTAATTGCTCTTTAAATTAAGGCTGTAAAATGCATAAAACGTTGCCCAGTCGTCAATTAGTGCATAAAATAATGACAATGCATGCTGACGTCAATTAAGACCACCATCAACTTGACAACATACAATGTTTTCGGGCTAACAACAACACAACAACAACAGCAACAGCAATGCGAGTAATACCGCAGTGTAAAAGTCATTAGCAGCTACCAGCTTTTATTTGACCAATTTAGCTGGCGAACCAAAACTGGGTTTGACTTCGAATAGGCCTTATTTCAATAATAAAAATATGTTCTACAAATGAATAAAATTGCGAACTGTCTGTTTTAATTATAATCATGCTATCAATTTGTCACTGCTCCTGCTATTGTCATAGTCGTATATACCCTGGCTTGCTTTATGGTTAGGGTAAGCCACTGCAAATTTGTTGTAATTTATGCCAAAATCAAGCAGCGTAAATTTAACAAGAGCTCGAAATGTTTGTCCAATGCACAAAATATATTATGGCTTAACTAGAAAAAAAAGCAAAACTGAAAATTGAGCAGAGCCAGCAACCAGATTTAAGTGCAGTCCCACAACTCCAATCAGCAATTCCCCGACCCGCATCCCCAAGTTGCTGCCTTTGCTCGTCCCTTTTATTTGTTTGTCTGATTCAGATTCAGTTTTACACTTTACTGAAAAGGTGTCTGAGCCTGGGCTGAGCTGGCTGCCAGTCGCTTGCCTCTTGCTCTGCACTAAGTCTCTCTCAGTCTTGGATCTTGACTGCATCCGCCAGCTGCACGGCTTGGCGCCTTTTGAACACTTCAAGCTCAATTGAATTTAGAATGGGCCACACTCGAGCCAGGTGCAGCAGCAAAAACATCAGCACCAACACCAGCACCAGCAGCTGTTGCAATTGCGTTAAAACTTTGCTGCCTCGTCGAGGTGGCACGTAATGAGCTGCCTTTGCCAGCACGCCAGCGATGCGAATGATGATGATGGATATGAGGTGCATCATCTACAGCTGGATCAGCCAACCACTTTTATCACCTAGACAACACAACAATACACACCTCTAATCCGAAACACGTCAGCTGATGTTGCACAAACAAATTGTTGTTTGCCAGTCGCAGCTTTTCTGGCTTATTAATATGGCCAACAAGGTGCTACCACTGGTCGACTACTCCGTCGTCTGCTGGTCATTAAGTAAAATGAACTCAAACTGGGCAACCGTTGATGGAAAGTCACATCAAAATAAGCTACTCAGCTGCTTAAATCGGATTAATTTATGATTTCTCGGTGGAGTTCTTATTATTATTGCGAGTGCCACGTCGAACGTCAAATGAAGTGGTCGTTGTTGCTACCGCTGTCCTTTACTAGACTTGTCTCGTTTTCTTTTTTTCTCGTCAGCGTTTTTCTTTTTCTTTTTCTTTGTTTTCTGGTTAAGCTTTATGCTGCCGGCTTTTCGTGGCCACAGGCAGAGGGAGAGACCGACAGACAGACGGACAAACTCTCTCACATATTGCCACGTTTATATTTCATTATCAAGTCCAGGGTCGACTGGGCATGAAAAAGCGTCACACAAAAGCCCAAAGCCAACAAACCAAGAGTCCACAGCACAGGCCAAAATAAAAGCGAAAGCCAAACTCAGCCAGGCCAAGAGTTCGTTCGCAATACACAGTCCACTGTCCAGGGCCCGAGAGTGGAGAGCAGCTCAACGCGCCCTGGTTGACTTCATCTGTACAAATAATGGAGCCAAATAAGTATTACAAAAAGCGTAAATTCGCTATAGTACAAATTTCCTGGCCAGCGACTGGCAACACACACACACACAAAAAGAAGAAATAAATAAAAAAAAAGGAAGAATAAAAATTGGTACAACCAAATTTCAAAGAGCTACTGCTGAAAGGATGCATTCTCGGCTATTAGCCAACTTAAAGTCTAGACATGACGCTGCGCTGGCATGGTCGGGCTACTAACAAGCTACCGTCGGCATCCAAGGCAACCGACGAGCAGTTCCTCCTTTCTGCCTTCCACCCTTCCCGCCGGCTAGCTGGCACATGTGTCCCAGTCTCCAACTCGGATTCATATTCATTCAACTCTGCGTTTTGTGCATGCAAATCTGTTTTGCGTGTTTTTGTTTGTTTTGTCGTTGTTGGTTTTTGCACAAGTTTCCACGTTTTTGCCCCCTGTGCTCTTACCCGAGCCCGACCATTAATTATTTGACTCCTGTCTGGCGTTCTCGTCTGCTTCGGTGTTTGTCTTTGTCTCCAACTATGAAAATTCATAATTTTCAACTCGCTTTTTATGCCCTGCGCTCACGCAGAAAAGTAAAAGGAGTTTATGAACCACATAGTTGTCTAATCTATTTATGAAAATCAACTCTGCCACTTTACTACAGGGTATTTAACAGTTGCTGCGTATGCACTGTTATTTGCCCAAAGCGTTTTTTTTTATTCACACCAGGCTCTTGTTAGCGCACCCATGTCTCTGTCGTTGATTTATGATGGCTTCCTTCCATTTCTTGCCCTGCCAAAAATCAAAACAAAAGAATTATTATGCAATCCAAATTCAGAGATTTTGCTTGGGGCTTTTGTGTAATTGAATCTGCGTTCAAAGAGCGCCGATTGCCCTGGCAACAATTGTGAATTGAGCTTAGTTCAATTCGATTGAACTTGTGCATTTCTTCTCATATGCCACAACACATGTGTGTGTGTGTGACCACAGGAGATATGTGCAACCGCAATGCGCCACACGTCACAACTGCAATGTCAAGAGTTTGGTCTCAATTTAGTTTGACTTTTTATTAATTGCACAGCAATTGCAACAGCAGC